TGTTTGTTTTGTAGTATTTCTTCTGAACCAAGACATTTTTTCTTATAAGAATTAGTTTTTTTTAGTTCTTTTTAACAACAAATTTAAACCAATCATTATTTATTATAAAACTCTTTTTTAGTTTTGTTTCATATATTTTTAGTTCAATGATGAGAATGAGATTTATCTTAATCTTTATCAACAAAAATTCACCATTTCCAAAATTTAAAAATTTTGTCTTAAAAAGAGAAAAACACTTTTTATTTATCATTATGTTATTTGAAATTGTTCATTTAAACTTCTTCTTCTTTCACACTACTTTCATTTTCTTCCCTTGAGGCTTCTTCATTGTTTTCCTCGTCTGAACTATCAGTGTTTTCTTCTTCTTCACTATCTTCTTCATCATACTCTCCAGCATTTGGATCATATTCTCCACTTTCATCATCTGATACTTCTTTTTTATTGTCATCACTTTCATCATCTTCATCATACTCCTCATCTTCATCTAAGAATTGTTGGAACCCTGCAGAATCTAATGGTTTTTTAGCTTCTTCAATAATATTTTGTGCTAAAGTTGTATCACCTACAATACATTCAGCACATAGCCTACTTATTAATTCTGCAACGTCTTCAATAGATTCATCTTCACAACTTGTATTCATTTTTTGTTCAAAGAAGTTATATAGAAAATCAATGATTGAATGTGGATTAATTGTATTTCCTTTTGTTTTATATTTTGATATAATACTTTGAACCATTGAATCTTTTTTTTGTTGTGAATTAACACCACCAAATTGATGTTCAACACATAGTCTTAATGTAGACCAACAATCCATAAGTCCACGAACACTTTGTTCGAATAACTTAAATTCATTTTCTCTACCATTCCAGGGTTGCATGTTAAAAGAATATAATGACTGTTACTCATAAATGAAAAAAGGGTTTTTTGTTAAAGAAAAGTAAAATTTTGTGGTTTTGAAGAAAAAAAATAGTTTATTTAATTCCATTGAGAGTCACAACAATTGTTCTTGATCCACCATTATCCCTATGTTCATTTAAATAGATACCTTGCCATGTCCCTAAACACAAATCACCTTCTCTTATTGGAATATTTAAACTACATCCAAACATAGAACATTTAGCATGTGCTGGCATATCATCATCTCCTTCCATGCAATGTTCATATGGTTTTGTTCCATCTGGGATTAGTTTATTAAAAATAGTCTCCATGTCTTTTCTTACAGCTACATCACATGAAAATAGTCTTAGTAATTATAAAAATTAACAAACATGGATCACAATTTTCATTAATACATAATGAAGCAGATGTATGCATTACTAATTTATGTTAATCTATAAGTCTAATAAATGGTAAGATAAACAAACAAAATACATTACACATTCCAACTTTAATAGTTTTGAGTTGTTGAGAAACACATTTAATAACTTCATTAGTAATTAAATGAGAACCTCTTCTTTTTGAAATTTTAATTTGATTTTGAAACCAAACAACTTGAGGTTGGGGTTGATTCATAAAAATGAACAGTTTCTAGTTCTTGGTATAAAAAGAAGAAAGAAAATAATAAGATTTGGTAATAAAAGAAATGATTAAAAAAACGAAGGTTAAGTAGTTTATTCTTTTTTATCAAAAATATTAAAATATCCATCAGCAAGTTCTGTTGGTAATAATCCATTCATTACGGCATTAACTAATTTTAGTTCTGATAATGCCTCTACTACTCCAGAAGGATCAGAAATGACACCTTCATTATTAATTGATGAACTTAATAATTGGATACTATGTTTAATTCGTTGTTTTACTAACTCGTTTGTCTCAGCCTCTTCCTTTTTCTTTTGTTGTTGCTCTGTTTTTTGTTGTTCTTGTTGCTGTTCTGCAACAGACCGATCTTCTTGAACATGCTTAGGAATAGTAAATTCTTCTTGTTTCTTTTGAGCTCTTTGTTTAGTTCCCATTTCCATAACTTTTTGAGTAAGAGTAGTTCCAGATAATGGTTTGATATAAGGTAATGGGTCATAGTCTCCCTTTTTATCTGCAAGTTCTTTTGCTAAATTGATAACATCATGTATATCTTTTATGTCTGGATATTTCATGAATAGCATCATTGTCGTTGAATATTGTGATGACTCTAAAATAGGCTCTCTTATTTGGACCATCATCGCAAGGAATAAATAATCAACAAATTCTAAATTGTTTCCATAAGCAAAGATCGCATCCCATACATTAAGAACATCCATTACATGGAATTCTCTATCAAATAATAAACGTAACCAACGACTAAGTTTTGTTTATTATATGATTAATAATAATAAGAAACAGAAGAAACAAACGTTCCAAATATGACTAAATGAATTCCTTCATATTTAAGATGTAAATATAATTGATTATCTAATTTTTCTAATTCTTTAAATAATTTATCACATTTTATCATTAATTTAGTATGCGTAGCAGATCCATCAGGTGATTCAATTGTAGAATTTCTTGTTTCATTTGGGTCATAAAAATCTGTAACACTATGCATTAGTAAATCAAACATAGTATATGCATCATGTTCCATGTATTGTTCATCAAAAATATAAGACATCACTTTATATACATCCGCATTAATACTTTCTTTAAATTCATCTTTCATAAGATTATCCATAACTTCTTTTGTTCCTTTCCATGACTGGATATCTCTTGATATACAATAATACAATACACCTACTAATTCATGAAATCCTTGATTATATTGTAATTCGCTATGTTCTAATGAGTATATGACACAAACTCTTTTGATATGTTCTCTAACTTGGTCATTTCTAAAGAAATCATATTCACTAAATAAACGTAAAATATCAACACCAACTCGTTTTTCAACATCCATTTCATTAAAATGTTGACACCAAGGGTTGTTCTCATTAATTGATAATGGGTCTGGAATGGTATCGCTCTCTTCTGTTAACTTTTTTAAATTTTTTTCTCTTATAGGTCCATTTTCTAATTTATCAACAAGCATTTGATATTTGTTTCGTTGTTGTTGTGTTTCTTCAATCCATCCATTACCACAAATTCCATGTAATGCTCCTAAAAAGATTCTCCAAGCAATGGACCTAATATCCATTGTATCAAATCCACTATTAATACCAACTTCTTTAAGTGAAGAATACCCATCGTCAAAAACAAAGAACTTTTTAAAACAATCTAATTGATTAGTAGTTTGTATGTCTGTTTCAGTCATATTTCTTTGAGTTAACTTTTTAAGATCTTTTTAAATTCTTTTAGATTTTTCATTAAAAAGTAAATAAAAAAACACGCATTACAAGAAACACCTCAGAAAATATAAAAGAGCCAATAACGAAAGAAAGAGAAATCCATAACAACCAACAATTATAAATGATAGAAGAGCATATGAAATAACTATTATTGGTATTAACATAAATAGTTTTATAATGAAAATAACATAATATAATCATCATGAAATGCTATAAACTATTTCATTCATCACTTCATTCATTTTCATCGTCACAACTATTTTAACAATAATTTCAATACAATTATCATAATAAAACATATCAAATATATAAGTATTAATAAAATAAAAGTTGAGGTTACACAAAAATATGAGAAATGAAATGATAGAAATAATAAAAGAAAGTCGAAATGGTGTAATAAAAAGAATAAAGAAAGCATTTTATAAGAAAATCAATTTTAATGAATTAATGAATATAATAGAATTAAATGAAAGAAAACATGATGTAAAGAAAGTGTTTGAATGTATAATAAATGAATTAAATGAAAGATATTTAAATGAATGGAAAGAAAAGAAATATGGTGCATATATAAGAAGTGCAAATTGTACTTTCAAAGATAAGAAATTAACACTAACAACGTGTGGCTATTGAATATAAAAAGAAATGTATTTTTCCAAAGAGTAAAGTTACAAGAAGGAGTAAGTATGAGATGAAAAGGCATTAAATCAAAAATACTCCACTGCAATGCTTTAAAATATTGTAAACATTGTCATAACATTATCACATCTATTAGTCATATCTTGTTATGATGTAATGAAGAATAATCAAATATTAAAACACTAATATGAATATTAACCAAATATTTAAACATTTATTAATTACTTAATTTAATGAATTTGATGCAATTGATTTAAATATTAAATAAACAAAAATAATCACTTCACAATCCCACAAAACCCAAATTTGAATTTATATTAAATGATCTTTTTCATTAAAAAGTAAGTCATAACCAAAATTAAAGTATGTTTTCATTTATTCATTGTTTTTGTATTTCACAAATATGAGGAAGAAGATTATTATAAAAAATAATCACGATTCACAACTTTGATAAGTAATAATTTCCCTAACTACTTCTATTCAAGTCCAAGGCATTACAGAATATTAATGAATTATAATTGACAGTATTATTTCCATATTTATATGTTATTTGATCATTTTTAAATATTCAATCAGTATATTTCCCATATTTGGTAGTTTCAAATATACTAGAACAATTCAATATTTTGGTGTTTTTTGGTAAGGAACGAATTGGAGTTGATACTTTGTTATATAATTTTACTCCAATTGGGGTTAATTATTATAAAATTTCTTCTAGATTATCAATATTATATGGCTAGATGGTTTGTCTTTATTAGTGAGTAATTCAGTCTTCTCCAAATAGTTTTTATGAAGTAGCAAAAGGTAAATTGGCTCAACTAAAATAAATTTAAATTACATTGTGAATATTTGTACAAGAAGGCAATATAGTGAAGAGCCTAAATTCATCCAAAGCCACAATTGGAATTTAATTTCTCAGATAATATAGTACAAATAACACAAGAAACAAGAAGGATAGGTGTTTTGGATTGATGTTGTTCAAACAAAATGATAAAAATAATCCAAAAAAAACAGAAATATAAATGAAGATGAAGAGTGTGTTTGAAAAATTTAACCAAACGACTTATTACTATATATAAATAAACAAAATAATGGTTGGTGATAAAAGTCTATTAAAATTCTAAAACCATTTCATCTTCAAGAACAATAATTTCACGGTCTAAATCTTTTAATTGTTCTATTACTTTATAGTATGAATAACTTTTAATATGAGTAGCATAGACTTTAATACCTGGTAATAAATGTTTAATACCTTCTTGTAACATTTTTGGAGTCATATGGTTTGAAATTAAAGCACGTTCTTCAAGTTCATTCGATAAAGAAACTTCACAAATCACTCCCTTTAATTTAGGCTCTTCACTAATTCTTTTCCAAAAAGGTTCATAGTATGTTGTATCACCAGTAAATGCAAATGCACTAGTTTTATTAGAAATAATATATCCTAAGGTCAATACACTATGAAGACATTTTACTGCAGTAATAGTAATTCCATTACTCAAAACACATTGTTCTCCATCTTCTATACTTTGAAATGTCATAAACCCCTTTTCTATTAAATTCATCCATATTCCTTTCTTAAAGATACTATCATTTAATTGTTCTAACACAATATGACTACAATGAAGAGTTGGTTTACATACTTGAATTAATTCGTCATTGTAAAATGATTCAACTAACAATGAAATACCACATGTATGATCAATATGGGCATGAGTTAAAACAACATCTTTAATCATTGGAATTTCTTTTTCTTTTAATCTAATTATTCCTGTTCCACCATCAATTAACGCTACTTTAGTTTCTTCATTTAATTCACCACAAAAACACATCAAACAAGTGGATTGATTTTTAAATCCAATATTTCCACCACAGCCTAAAATTCTAACTTTGAGACTCATTAATTTAATAAAAAGTTCAAAGATTTTATAAGTTATTTTAAAGTTTTGTTCTTAAAAATTTTATATTTATTAATAGTTTCAAAGTCTTAACAAAAAAATAACTTTCTCTTAGATTAATTTGACTCAACAAGTAGTCAATATAATTAAATTTTAAAGAATGATTTATTGAATAACACAATTTTTTATGTATCTAATTTATAAAAAAACAATATATAAGAGAGTTACTACTTTTAATTAGACAATTTATGAAAAGACTAATATCTAACTCAGTACAAATTTATAATACAAAGAGTGGATTTGTTATTCTTATTATTCGAAATTAACAAAATAATAAAAATAATTAATAATTAAAAAAGTATTTTGTTCATTATTCAATAACAATTTATATCATTTAATTTGTCTATTTTATTTCAATTATTTTTAAAGACATTTCTAAATGTTGTAATTATTCTTTAATTATTAATAATGTTGAATATATCATTCTATTATTTCTTTATAAATTGTTCATTTAATGTTTTGATATATTCATTGATTGGTATTGACTATTTTTTCATTAATTTGTCATTTATATTATCTTGCTTATTATTTATTAATATCAATTCTTATTTGAAGCAACATATATTTACTATTTCATTAATATGTAAATTATTTATCGTTTTGTATATATAAAAGTTAAAATCTTCTCACTTCTCATTTATTATTTTCTTTATTCCTAATGAAGTCCAATGAATTTAATATAATATGAATAATGTTTTCAAATATATTGAAGATTCCTGTTCATTTTAAAAGACACTAAAGATGAAATAAATACCATTTCTTGATTGAATAATAACTTAAATAATATCAAATAAGAAAAATATTCATAAATAATGCGAATAGTATATAATAACGTTATGATAATTCATTACTTAGAGTAATAATAAAGAATATTTACAGACCAACCAAAATACTTCAATTTTACTGACAAAAGAAATCAAATATATTAATTCACTTAATTACACTCATAAATAGAAAATCATCAAACACAATATGATTTTAATTAAAATGTTAAAATATGACAAATATGTATTTTAAAAATACACAAAAACTTCAAACCAAATCTCAATCTCTTATGTATAATAATAAAAAGTTAAATATCTTAATTGAAGCAAGTTTGTTAAAGAAAAACACTTTTATTATTTATTCCTTTTAAAGGAAAAAAAAAATTATTATTTAAGTCAAAGTTAGTTTTACCGAAATAAATAAGAAATACCAATCTTTCAAATGAAGTAAAACAAATATAAACAGTAACAAGAACTATTATATATTTCAATAATAATACAGATTATTTTACAATACATAAAAACAACAAAAATAAGATGTATAACTCATACATAGCCTGAAGAAAAAAAAGATTCGTTATGTTTTTTTTTAAAGAGGAGTAATAATCAAATAAAATATTACTAATTTAATTTTTGAACTTAAAAAGGAAATTTAATCTAAATAATTTTTTAAGTTATAAAATTTTTTTATGAATAAAACTTTCACTTTTCAAAAATGAAAGAAACCCTAAGGCTTGATCTTTAAAATTATAGGAAGAAAATGGAAAAACAAAAAACAAGTTTGTCAACGCCAGAACAAAAAAAGAATTTAATAAATGCTAATAGAAGAATTGAAAGAAGAGGATGTCAAGAGATGATTTTATTGTCTATGATTACCTGTTTTGGTTATAAAGTTCAATTTGTAAGACCAAAACATGGATGTAAAGCTCTTCCATATGTACAAGTCCAATCAATAAAAAGAAATAATGATGTTCTATTTGAAAATGATGAAGAATTTGAAAAGAAATGTATTGATAAGAATGGAAAAAGAGACAAAGAGATATATACCTCTCTTTCAATGGAAGTTTTTATTGGTATTGGAAATAAACTTGGCATTCAAACAAAAGGAACACTAAGAAAACCGAAGCAAGTACGTCCAAAATTTACTAAAGTTACTGAAATACTTTGTTCTACTATTAGTATTAGAGATAAACAGATATTCTCAATTGGGCATGAAATTCTTGAAGGAATTGTTTCTTGTCTTAGACAATCTGATTGTAATACTGTCTTTGGACTTGATGAATTTTTATCTTTGGTGCAACCTAAATGGGAAGAAGAAAGTAAACATTTTATGAAAGAATTAAAAATGTTATCAGATAACCCAATTAAGACAAATGAAATTCAACCAAGTCTTTTTAAAACAAAAGAAATAAAACTCCCTACTATAAACTATTTAAAAGAAGAAGAGGTTATGGGTTTTGATGATCCTAAAATGGAAGATTGTCCTACTTCATACGAAACACCGTTTCAACCAGATCTGTTTCATCGATACCAATCTATGGTTTCGCGTTCTATCTCTGAAGCTTTTATACTCAAAAATACTCAAAATTCAATACCAACTAAAGAAATACCAGAAATTAATAACGACACATTAGATAGTTTAACAGTCACTGATCCATTACCATGTTGAAATAAATGATCTGTTTAACAAATATGCACAATTTACCTTAAGTGAATAAAAGAGTTCTATTAAGCTCATACTAGTTTCATGCTTAATAGCTTTTTTATCACTTTTAGAGTAGTTTTAAAGAAATAAAAGTTAAATGTTCAAGTTAATAGAAAAACTAGAAAATATAGTGTATATTTCATCTTATTATATTATTGATAACATAACGATGTAATTAATTAAGTCATTATTTTATTAAATAGTATGACTACTTTTTATTATTAAAAAAGTTTTAAAAATAATTAAACTTTAATTCAATAAATTTATTCTAAAGTTATCTATGTTTCATATAGTTATTATGTTGAGTTTTTAAAAAGATATTAATAAATATAAGTTAGTATTTTTAAATAAATATTTCTCATTTTGTATGACAAAAGTTTATAAAAAATTCTTATCATTATTTTTCATGGAGTGATTTTCTTTGTATTATTTAATATTAAATTAATTTATGTTAAATACTTCTTGAACCATTATCTATTTAATTTCTTTTTCTAAAACATTAATTTTTTTAACGTTATTTTTCTTAAACCAAATATAACATGATAAAATATTGTCTAAAATAACAGTACAACTTCTCTTTGGTAGTTAAATTAGTTAGTACAAAATCTTAATAATATTCAATAATAAAACCCCTAAAAATTTTATTTATTGTGTATCATTTTACAATTTTATTGGTTATTTTCTTTTATGAGTTAAAAAAATAGAGTGTTTGTTTTGTACTGTTATATAATTGTTTTGTTACTGAAACAGAACGGAAAAATGACTTATAAATTCCGAATAAACAAATCGGTATTTTTAAAAATTCTAAAAATACTTATCAACAAAAACAATATAAAAACAATGAACATTGTTAAAACTTTTAATAGATTTAAGTTATGAGAATATGATGTGGTAAATAATAGTTCTTTCATATTCAAAAAATATAAATTTACCTTAAAAACACTTTTCACCTTTAAGAATTGAATTAAAAGTTAAAAAGATTATTACATTAAGTCTTTAAACAAATTGATGTTATAAAACTATTTTCATACAAGAAAAAAGCAGAAGCTAACATAATATTTTTTTATTACTTTGAATTTTTTCATCAAGTTTTAAATTAAATTCTTTTAAATAAACAATTATTTGATTAATTAAAATAAACAAAATTGATTTGAGAATAAAATTGATATCTTTCTGATTAAAATATTATTCACAGGATTATTGTTTTATTTCATTAAAAAGAGGTAATTTATAAATTCAATTAAAAAGTAAAAGAATTTGTCAATGGAGGTTAGATTTTAAACTTTTTTTATATAAGTTATATAAAACACAAAATTAGTATTTGTTTTTTAAAAATGAAAAAAGGAAAGATAAAAATAAAACAAGTTGAAGTCAATCAAAAAACTATATGTAATGATATATTTAATAAATAATATAATAAACATAGTAAAGAAATTAATTCCAATAGAAATAAGCTAAGGATTGGGAAAGAAAAATACCAAAAAAGAAACTGATAATTGACTATAAACTGAACTTATTTATTCCATGAATTTGTGTATTTTTAATATTGAAGTAAATGGGACGATGTGGAATGAAGATTACTTACCAACGAGAATAGGACATGTTAAAGAAGCGATAGAAATGATATTAAAAACAAATTATTTTTCTGGATATTCAATTGTGTTATCAGATAATAATTCAACGATGATTATTTCACCAACAAATCAAAGACAGCTAATTAATTGTATTGATAAATTAAAACCAAGTTATTATAAACCACATCCATTAAGATGTCTTCGTAAAAGTTTATTTATTACACAACAGAGACAGTGGGATTCAGTTCATATAGTTTCATTTATATCTTCTGAACAAGCATTGTCTGATGCAGTGTTAAGAAGAAATGAATTATTACAATTAAAAAATTATCACGTAAACTTTGTACTATTTGGAGATGTCTTACAAATTACAAGCCATACTAAGTCGTTAATTTTTAGTCTTGTTAAACGCCAAGGAAGGAGTTGGAAAATTACTGAAGTAAATAGAAATAAACAAAATCCATATCAAAGATTACTGATGAGAATGTCAGAAGGAATAGCAATTGTTCCAAAACGTAGAATACATCAATTAATCCCATCAATTAAAACAGGACAACTTCCATCAGAATTTAAAGCAAGTAAATATATTTCATGTAAAATTATTAATTATTTTACAAATGATTCAGTACAAATGATTCCTGTTCCAATTGTATCAAAAGAAAAAATTATTTCAATTATTAGATGTGGAAAATGTGCTATTGAAAAAGAAAGATGTGTACCAACATCAATAATTGGTAAAATGTTTTTGATTGAATATTCACCAATATTATTTAAATTAGTATTTAGAGCTGATCTAGTTGTTGAATATATTACTATTTTTAATGGAGAAATTAAATACTCTATTATTGAAAAAAATAGAAGAGAATTTCTTCTTTTTGAAGGATATTGTGGAAACGAGAAATTTAGAAAGAATATGTATTGGACAATTGATCCTGCTCAACAATTTATAGATAAATTAGTTGAATGTATTAATCAAGAAGTACCTTCAAGTTATATGAAAATTATGGAAACTATTTGGACTGACCACAAGAAAGTATTAAGTAAGATGGAAGAGAAATATATGAATATGAAGAAAGAAAAAGAAATTGCAAATAAAGTTCCTGAAGGAACAAAGAATGATACAAAACGTGAAACTGATCTTACTGTTAGGAATGAAGCTGAAAAAAAATCTGAAGATAGTTATTAAGTATCATATCTCTTGTTTTTTTTCTATTATTCATATATGTTTAATTTCTATTATGTTGCTTTATTCTAATTATGTTGTTTCATCATTTTAAAAATTATTATTTTATGTTAAATGATAATATTTAATAAAAAAAAATCTAAAATTTAATTAAATTATTTATAGTTTTATTCAATCACATCTTTTTTACATATATTTTAAATGTCTCTTTATCTAAATAAGATTCTTGGTTAATAATATTTCGTTTTGATAATAGAAGATTTGATAGAATTGGAATATTAAAACATCTAAATGAACCACAAATATTTTTTTATTTAGTCTTTTGATATATTAGAATGTTGTGTTTTTTTTTTGTTATAATTCAATTTTTCATTTGAACAAATACATTATAGATTTCATTCATTTTAGGTTATTCTATTTCTATAAATTTATTTATTGGTTTAGTCTTATAAATAAAGACTGTATTTTTTTATTAAACAATTTAGATATTTTTTGTTTGCACTGTTCATAAACGTCTTGAGTCTGAATTAATTAAACAACTTGAACTTTTTATTTTATAATAATTATCACATTCGTTGAAACCATTTAAGATAACCAAAGTAACAAATAGAATAGTCAATAAATTCTTATTAGACTTGATGTCTTATTAATTAGTGTAACTTGTTTAAATTCAACTTATTTTTGAATTTAGATGATAGATTATAACTTAATACTTGAACTACTATTATTTTTGTACGATACATTCAAATCAATGTCTAATAAACATACAAAATTCAAAAAGAAAGAACTTAAGTGTAATTGAAGTAGAACTAAAGAACAACTTCTATATTGTTCATGACGTTTAAAATATCTTCACAAAAAGAATTATCAAAATTTACAATTTCAACAAAGGTAGTGTTAAATAGAAGAATATCCATAAAAATAATTAAAAATAATTCTATTTTCTAATTTATTAAATTATAAAAATTTTTTAAGTAATTCTGATTGTATAACTTCGATGTGTTTAAAAAATTTTCAAATAAAATAAAAAACAGTTTGAATAATATTTAATTTCAAATTAATTTAAAGAGTAATATTTAGTAAGAAACAAAAATTTAAGATTTGAAATTTTTCTGTTGTAATATTATGTGAAAGGCATAAGACAATCAAATAACTTTTGCAGGGAACGATATGAAAAATATTAAAAGTGATAATTTTAATTCATTTATAACATAAGAAGATTTTATAATACAAAATAAAGAAGTAAACTAAAAAGTTAAAAAAAAAAATAAACGTTATTCTTAAAAACTAAAAAAGAATATATTAATAATGCAAGATGATAAATATTATATGAATGAAGCTTTAAAAATGGGTCAAGAAGCTTTAAATATAGGAGAAGTTCCTGTTGGTTGTGTTGTAATTAATTCAAAAGGTGAAATTGTTGCAAAAGGAAGAAATCATACAAAAGAATTTCAAGACGTTTGCTTAAATTAGTCATTAATGGTATTGACTCCCCTCATTATTTATAGGGAACTCAACATGCTGAAATAGTTTGTATTAATCAATTAGTTGAAAAACATGTTCATTTAAGTGAATGTATTCTTTATGTAACATGTGAGCCATGTATTATGTGTGCTGAAGCATTAAAACAATGTGGAATTACAAAAATTATTTATGGATGTTCTAATGCTAGATTTGGTGGATGTGGATCTGTTATGACAGTAATTAAATCAAGTCTCTATAAATCAAATCATGAAATAAATTATTGTTATCATTCATTAATGGAATTAGAAGGATTAGAGTTATTAAAATGTTTTTTCTCAATGGAGAATGAAAAAGCACCAGAACCAAATAAAAAGAAAAAAAATGAAGAAAAATGAAAAAAAAAGACAATTAAATTTATTCATAAAAGTTTTTGATAATTTTAATTTCAATACCTCTAAATAAATAACAAAAGAAATTAATAAAAAAATAATAACCATAAAATATCTTTTTGTATTTTAAATTTGTATTAAATTCTTTAAAAAAGGAGAACAAAACAAAGAGCTTAACTGTGCTTCCAGAACATTGCAATAAGAATGCCAACTGCAGTAACAACAATTGAAGCTAATTCAATATAGAAACCATAATTTGGATTTGGTGAACTTTGAGCAAGCCATTCAGAAACGTTATGTGCAAAGAATAAAGCTAACCATAAAATCATTCCAACAATGTTAATAGCAAGAGAGATAAATGCAAATATCAATAAAATCCAAGTTCTTCTTCCTACATTTAATTTAATTTTCTTTAAGCATTTTTGACATGGACCAAATGCATGAAGAAGATAGAAGAGTGCACAAATAAATGAAAAAACTAATCCAATAATTAAAAATACTAGAGCACAAATACCTGATGATTTTAAATCTTTAAATTCAAAAGTATTTCCATATCCATAACGAAGGCGAGAACCGTTGTCATCTTTACAGTTGTCTGTTGTCCATCCAAGTAAATAAAATGAATAATGTACGTTAGCTGTTTTAACATTAGCCATAGCCCATGGAAGTGGAAGAGAAACAATAGTTAATATCGCTCCAATAATTAAAAACACAGCAGCAAGAAAAGGTAGTATAACGAATTTGCTCATAATTTATGATTTCTAGTTCACAAGTTAAACTTTTTTTAAACTGTTTTTTGTTATTAGAGTTTTACTTCTTTTTTACTATTAAAAGTGGATTAATTAATTTTCTTATTAGAAAAGTAAAGTTTCATTTAAAAAAGTTAATGTTTTATTGTGTTTTCTTTGTTTCATTCTAGGTTTTTTACTATTCTTATAGTTTTTCCCATCTCTTTTTAAAAACGTGAAGAAAGGAAAAAAATGTTTTTGACACGAAAAAAAAAATTCCACTCAACTTCCAGTTACCAGAACTTATTATTTTTTATGTTATTTTTTTATGTTATTTTTTTATGTTATTTTTTTATGTTATACAAAACAAACTTAAAATTATATTTTAAAATGAGCTTATACCAAAGAAGACAAAAAAATATTAGTAAATTATCAGAACAAGATTTAAAGTATAGTTGTAGATATGAAGATTCTTGGCACTATAAATATAAAGATAATAATGAAATTTATATTGGTGGTATTGCAAGTGAATTAAATGAAGGGGATATAATTATTGTTTTTTCACAATTTGGAGAAGTAATTGATATTAATATGCCATGGAATAATGAAAGGGATGAACATAAGGGGTTTTGTTTTCTTACATATAAAGACCCAAGAAGTTGTGTGTTAGCCATTGATAATTTTAATGGTATTGAATTAAATGGTAAAACATTAACGTTTGTTTTATAATAATAATATTGTTTTTCATATTTGCAAGAAGAATTAATAAGAAAGGGTTGATCATTCTGAGTCACAAGAACAAAAAAATATAGAACAAACAATTGGGAAGTTTATAATTCAAAAACCACATAATTAACAGTTTTATTCAATTATATTCATTATTTTTGGAAAACCAAGTTAAGACTATTATTCCAATCTATTAATTCTTTAAAAAGAGGATTAGATTTAAGTGATGTTGTAATGTCATTAATTGTTAATTGAGTAATTTCTAAATTGACAATTGATTTCTTAACATTTACGGTAACAAGACCAATTGTTTGTAATTCTAATAAAATTTGATAATGATAATCTTTTAATGAATAAAATGACTGTTTAACATTTTGTAATGAATTAATATTTTTTGTATTTTTAAAGAGAAAATCACATAAGTCTGATACTAAAATAATTGGGGAGGAAGATATTTGTGAAAGTCGATTTAGTCCAATTAATACAATGTATTGGTATGGAGTTAAATTCCAAATTGGTTGAGGATATAATAATGTAAGAATTTTAAATGAAATGAAAGAAGTATCAGAATGAATTAATTTAAATTGATTTATTTGAAGTAAATGAATAGCAATATTTCGTATTGGATTAATAGTAATACATAATTGGAATAAATCATTAATATCTTTATCATTAAATATTGATTGAGTGAAAGTATTCCAACACTCATTAGAATTGATTGAAGTTGTTTTTAAAAGAAATGATTTCATTTCTTCAGGAGAAGAAATACCTTTAAGTATAAGTGGATCTCTACCAAATGTAATTCTTGAAGAAATTTTTTTATCAGCAAAGATATCATCAGAAAGAGCAGTAAATATTACTGTTAAATGGTTATTGTCTAATAACGTAAGAAATGCATCTGTAATTTCATAAAATAATTCAATATTATTTTTAAGGAGTTTAGAAGTATTTGTAATAATTAATACTATTCTAACAAAATCTATTTCTTTTATCCAATTAATAAATGAAGTAAATTGTATTGGCATATTTCTTAATTCTTCATTTAAAAATTGTTGTTGTTCAAGTTGAGACTTTACCAATACAAAAAAATCTTTTTGATGTTTTAAAATGGAAGAATCAATAGTAAGATAATATAATTTGCAACTTCTCTTTTGTTTCCTTTCTTCTTTTGCTAGTTTTTGTTGTTTCTTTTCTTCTTTTACCCTACTTTCTTCATCAACAAAAAATATATCATCTTCATCCATTACAGTAATTGTACTTTCATTTATCATTGAACCATCACTTAACTTTTCTTGTTTTCTTATTTGTTCATTTTCTGTAAAGTCAGTATGAAGGATTTTAAAAACAATTTGTTCCCATTCATTTTCTTCATCTCCAAGTACAAATGAAATTATTCCAACTTCATTAATAATAAGTTCTTCAACTTGTCTTTTTATACTATTAAAACAATTCTCATTTATAAGAACATTAGTTTGTAACTCATGTATTTTCTTCAAAAGATCACCTTCATTCATTTGATCTACATCTCTTTCTTCAACTTTTTATTTTATTTTATTTTTTTGTTTTACATAACATAAAATTTTTGAATAAAAATAAAGTTTCTAATTCATTTGTAGAAATCTCTTTTATTTTCGTTTGAGAGAAAAAAAAAACAGTTGAGGTATAGTAAAAGTACAATGAATAGTTTTATTAATTAGCAATTAAAATAAAAATAATATTTTAAATTAATATAATAAAAGAATCAAAAAAAGTTAATAAATTCAACGACCCAAACAAAAAATAAAAATATGAAACATAAACAAAATTTCTAATGATAAACTTTTCAGAATTTAGAAAATTCAATAATAAATTTAAATTAAAAATTAGAAAGAATTAAAAAAAATTATTCTTTAAACTATTTGAGTAAAGAGAGAAAAAAAAAAAAGAACAACAGAAATTTTTTACTTAAAAAAGAAAAAGAAATTAGCAAATGAGTGAAAATACATTGTTCATAGAAAGACAAACTTCTGTTATGACAGAAATGGTAAAAGGAGAAGAAATTCTTGTTGTAGTTAAACAATGCAATTTTGTATTAACAATAAGTTCAAATACAAGAGTGTTAGAAGGTGCAGAAATTTGTTGTGAATTACTTTATGACTCACCTGAATTAAAACCAGTTAGTTTTATAAATCAACCTCCAATAAAATATAAAGCACTTCAAGCAAGTGAACATTCATTGAATGTGGAATGTAAATTAAATGTATTATCAAGTCAACATGAAGACCATTTTTTTAGGGTCAAAGTTACTGTATTACTTGAAGGAAAAAATATTGGGGATGTTTTATCTTCACCTATACGTTCAATAAGTAAATTAGATCCTCATAAAAAAGAGTTAATTAAAAAGAAAAAATCTGAAGCTCGTATAGTTATTCATTCAACAGAAAAGAAACCTAAAGCTATTTCTTATCTTGAAGAAAATAAAAATATTAAATCATTCACTCTAACTAATTTACTAACAATTCTCTCTCAAAATACTACATTATTAGAACAAATAAAACAAAAACAATCAAATGAAGATGACCTTTCATCTTTAGAAAATGGATTTCTTTGTTTTATTGATCGTTATAATCAAAGTGGACGTAGAAAAAATTTAATTATTGATGCTATAGCAAGACTAAACGATACTTCATTACAGGGATTAGATGAAATCTCAAATGTTGTTGGTTTGTATTTTCTTATTTCTTGTTTTAAGAATAGTCAGACTTATTTACTTAGAAGCAACACTTCCTGATGAAAGAAGAAGAACTTCTACTGAATATGATTATCCTTATTCTTTACGTAATACTCAACGAGATTACCCAATACCATCTTTTATTCCACCACCAGCAAAGCCATTTATTAATTATACTAATCCATTTCTACGATAGTTATTACCCTTACAACTGAAAACAAATGTAATTTTAATTAAGCCATGTTCAGATGTTTATTGTCTATTTATAAAATTTTTAATTTATTAAAGTAATAACAATAAAACTGACTCAAGTCTATTTATTCTTTTGTTTTGGTTTCTATTTGTCGTTTTTTTTTTTGTGTATTAAAGACAACTCTTTTTAAGTTAGGTTATTATAATACCATTTTGGGTTGTTCATTCACAATTTCTTTTTTTATCACTATTAATTAAATCCATTTGTTGAATTGAAATACTTATTAACTATCATGTAAATGATATTTTTCATATTTTATTAGTGCAATAACAATTATTTATATTAATAAATCACTAAAATTAACTAAACCAAACTCATGAAAAAAAATGTCAGAGTTATTATACTACTTTAAATATCTTTTAATAAAAGTGTTTGTAATTAAAATTCTGATAAGAGAGAAGAAAAAATTAATATTATTTTTTTAAGAATTAATTCTTAGAAAAGACTTTTTTTATAACGAATTTGTATGACGTTCTTATAAGAGATAAGAAGAAACAAATTTTTTAATAACAATATTTAAAATCTAAAATTGAATTATTAGTAATGAGTTAAGTGAGTTAATAAATTTTTCATAACAAAAGACGTGTCGTCATAATCTAAAGAAAATGTTATTACTCTTAAATTAAAAATATTGTGTAAAGAAATTCACACAAGTTATTGTAATAACACACTAGATAATGACTTTAATACTGCTAAAGCTGAGACACGAATTTCAATATTTGATGATGTTATTGTTCCTATTGTTAATTGATAAATAGTTTTAATAATCATAGAGGAAAGACGCTGAGGATAGTAGTCTTTATACATTTGAATTAAAATACTAAATATATCGTCCATTACATAACATATTTCCCTAGATGAAGAATCAATCATTTTATTATATCGTTCAAAACATTTATTTAAAGAGATAATAAATTTATTTAAAACAATATCTTCTATTGATTTATTTTCTAATAAACAAAGTACTGATTCATAAGCGCAAATACTTTGTTTTAATCCAAAATAAAAGAATTGACAATTACCAATGACAATATCAATCAATTCAATTCTTTGGCTCAAATCAATTGATTCATCTCCACACCATTTAACAATAGTATTAAATAATGTTAAAGATTCTTTGTTACAAATAATACAATCAACTTCAATAATTTCATCTTTAGATATAGATAGTATTGGCTCAATATTAAATAGTATTTTAGCTATTATTACTTTTTCTTCATTTGAAACAGTTTCAATTCTTTTTATGATATTAGAACGAATTTCACTTAAACACTGTTTTGGACCATATCCTACACTTATTTCATCAGTAAAATGAATTGTAGTTAATTGAATAATTTGAAGAATACTATCATATATCTTTAATTTCCAATTCATTGCAATTTCAATTAATAATGGAAAACAATACCACTTACTGTCATTTATTCTATCATTTGTTGTTTTTAATTTTGATAAGTCATTAATTAAATCAATGAATGACATTTTAATACTTTCTTTATCTTTTTCATTTAATGAACTAATAGATAATTTTTTTAGTCCTGTAATAACAAGTTGTTGTATAGAACTCCATTTATTATCAACCAAATAATGATCATCTGGATAAACATTAATTAATTTGAATAAAATATTAATTGAATGTGATGTTCCTTCATTAAGTATTTGTGAAGCAAAGAGTTGAATAAGAGATGTATTAATTCCATTATTTAATATAACCATTTGAGTAATTTCATTTTCTATTAATAATACATTTTCTTTTATTGTAACTAATTGAGTAGTATGTTGTTTGATACAATGTAAATATTTTAATACTGTTTCAATAGTAATATATGTTGGTTTATAGAATGCTACATTTGCAAATACAATACATTCATTAAATATTTTTAATTTAAACTCTTCTTCAAATTTATTAAATGTTGGTATTAATCTTATTAATCCACTTAAAACAACAACAACAATTTCATTCCATTCTCTCATCATTGAATTTAAATATGAATTAATTTTAACGTTAGATTTCTTAAATTCAGGGACAACTTGTATATCTGCTATTCTACAGTATATTTCATTTCTTAGTTCTTCTAAAACTGGTAGTAAAATTTCATCAATTGCGTTTGCCCATGCAATTGATGAAAGTGTAGTACTTACATTCCCTAATGCACGTAATAATGTTTGAACCATTCCTCCCCAAATCACATACCTAGAATCATTTACTGTTTGTTTCATAACCCTAAGAATATTCAACATTAATACATCTTTTTCTGATAATCCATTATTCATCATTTGATCTCCAGTAACACTTTCAAGCATATCCCAAAGAAGTTGTATAGCAGACAATGAAACATTTATATCATTTTCTTGAATAGTAAATTGTCCAACTACATTAACAATATCCAAACATTCTTCCATTTTTAATGTTCCAATTTGACTGGCAATTTGTTTAACTACTCCAAAAGCATTTCCAACATTAATTTTCTCTTGGGCACATTTACCTAATGGTTCTAATAATATATGCCATTTACCAACCATCTCATTTTCTATTGTTTCTATTACTGTTGATAATACGTCTAATGTATTTGACACACATTTTTTTGATTCAGAAAGAAGAAGTTGTCTTGTCAATTCTAATGCTGCAGTTGATCTACTCTTTCTTAATAAATCAATCATAAATGGTGGAATTAATGAAGCACATTCAGATTCTGACGCTGCAAATAATAAAACTATTTGAGTATTTTCTGGTAAAACTTCATCTAATTGAACACAATTTGATAATACAGCAAGGTATTCTCTAGAATAATACATTGATCCACTATTAACACATAAACCAGCAACATGGGAAAATGCAGATAATAATATTTTTAGGGAACTAACTGGTAGTTCTGGTGCTAATAAATGAGGAAGAGAAGAAAAATTGCTTGATTTATCTGGTAAATCAGAAAGATTAGAAACAGCATCTAATACTGGTAAAATGATTTGATATTCTTCTTCACCAAATTGATAAAGATTAGTTTCACAAATAGTATAAATCGTATTTAAACAATGATCGTTCAATGGTGATGGAACATAATTATGAAGAATTCCACAAAGTTTAGTAAGTGAAGTAAATAGAGCAACAATTGCTGTATGTTGGTGTTGGTGAAGAAGGATAGTTGTTACTGGAATACACATTGATATTACAGTTTCGTCTTGAAAAACAGAGAGTAAGAAATGAACACATGGCCATAATACTGATATTAACTTATCATCATCTGGACTTGCCAATGAAGTAATATCAGAAATTATAGAAGATAATATCGGATAATGTGGAGCTGATGTTCTTTCTAAAAATGCTCCAATAGCAGAAGTACAATCAACAAGTCTTTCTATTGTTGGAGAAGTACTAATACAAGTATCACATATTGTAAAAAATGATTGAACCTCCCATGGTTCCGATATAGGTTTTGGTAATATTGCCATAAAAGGAATTCTTACTGGATATTTTAATAATGGAATAATCAAAGAGTGTGCCACTGACAATGTTTGAGTTCTATGACTAAAATGTTTTGAAAGAACTGAAATAAAATCTTTTAAAGAGTCAAGATACTCTTTAATCTATTAAGTTATTTCTGTTTAACAAAAACAAGTAAACAACAATAACAAACAACAAAAAAGGTAGAACATTCTACAATAATGTATTTTATTAACTTGAGACACATCAATGGATCAAATCGATTAACTTCAAGGATATTTGGTGGTTGACCAAGTGATAATACTTGTAAGTCTTTAAATAGTCCTAATAAATCATTTGTCATTGTCCATTTTTGATTCATTTCAATGACACCTTTTTTTTTTGAATGAACTTCTGAAATTTCTTTCTTTGCTTTTTCAAATAAACTTTCAAGAATTAAAGGAAATGTAACTGAAGTTGATGCTTTAATCATTGGAGGTGCAATTTCATAGTATATCATTAAAATACTAATTGCTGTCATTATATGATGACTTTCTATTATTGAAAGAATAGATGGAGTAGTAAGGATAGTAGAAATAACTTGAATATTTTTAGTGAATTGTTCTGGTTCAATTTCACAATAACTTACCATTTCAGAAAGAAGTGATTTATAACTTTCCTATATGAGTTAGTCATTTTCTTTTTAATCAGTGTTAAATAACAAACCTCTCCTAATAAATTTTGCATCATTAATTTTGATATACATCCCATAGCGTCTGAATATAATTTGTTGTTATGTGTAAGTAAACAATTAATAAGAGGACAAACAAAGAAATTTTGTTGTTCTTTAAAAACTATAAAATGAGCATAAAGAAAAACCAAGAAAGAATTAATTTTTCTTTCATATGAAACAAACTATTAACAAATTCATTTGGTTTAATACTTTCAAGTTTTTGAATCACTGAATCAATCTCGGCTTTAAGATCATTATACTTAGAACTCTTTTTTATATATGACTGAATAAATTTAAAATCAGTCAAAACGGTGTTTAAAGCTGACATATGAATGAATCTGGAAAATTTTAATTAAGTTCTTTTGAAAGAAAAATTGGAAGGTTGAAAAGATTATTCCTTTTAATTAGTCTTGTTCATCATTAATATATTCACCATATCCTTCTTTTAATTTTTGTTGGATAGAACCCCATTCATCTTTCTTTACTTTCTTTTTTCTTTTATTTTTATCTAACTCAAATTTATCTAAATCAATAGACTCATGAATAACTTGTCCTGATTTATCATCTATCCGTGCAAACTCTCCTTTACCATATTGTGGATAACATTCTGCATAAAGGTCTTCATTACTTATAAACTCATTTCTTTTAGTTCTATATCCTTTAGACAATTCATTTAACTTTTGAAGAGAACTTGGGATGTGGGGTTTTTTATTATCTTCTTCTTGTTTTACCACAGTAAATGCACTAAGAAATTCATCAACCTCTTTGTTTTGATTTATTTTTGTAGACTCATTTCCAATTTCATTAGTATCTATTCCAGTCCAAAATACATCTCGGTTGATAATTTCTTTTTTTTGTTTAGTTTGTTCTGTTGTGTCTGTTTCAGTTGTTGTATTTTCTTTAATATGAACAACTTCATCATCTTCTTCAGAGGAAAATATTTTATCCATTAAAACCTTTCAAGTTCTCTCTTCTTAAAAATATAAAAACTGATTAAGTAACAGACTTGTTAATTATAATATTCTTTAGTCCAAAATAATTGTCCACATGATGGGTTTGATGTAAAGAAGAATTTTATAATATTTGTTTTAATTCCTTCATCATATGGATTAGGAAGATTGAAATCTTTATTCTTTATATATTCGTAGGTTGTATAATTCTTACAGATAGCCTGGGTATGAAAATACCATAATTTAGTAATGAAAAAAGCAACGCTAATAAACAAACAAAAAGAAAAATATAACAATGGTGTTGTTATTATTCTATATTTTATAACATTACAATAAATAGAATATCCTATTGTTATTGTTGCAATATAATCAGTGAACATTGTAATACATAAAAAAGTATAAAATATCTTCCTGTTGTTACTCCCTACACAATTTCCAATCCAACTACAATGATGATCAAACCTCTCAACACAACGATCACATTTACGACAATGATGTACCCTTAATGGTCGATTAAATTTACATTTATGACAAAATGTTCGTGGAAGATAAGTAACTTTATACTTCGCTGTAATGTCACTTCCAAATAAATTAACATCATACATCTTAAACTTCTTATCTTGGTTTTGTTCAAAATACTCTTCCCTTAAAGGAAAAAAACCTGGGTTTGTAGCATTTAATAAAACCATACAAATACATAACCACGGCCAATTAATTGTTAATATGATTTTAAAAAAAGTTAAGTCATAATAATATGAATAATACACTGCTGTAGCCCCACAAACTACCATGACTGTCCATGATAGTAAGAACCATAATTGATTATTAATTTGAAACAAAAACGAAAGATACCACTGAGACAATGAAGAACTCATTAATTCTTTTAAAGTTAGCGAGATAAAGAAGCTAATATAAACATAATAAATAATAATGAAAAAGTCAATTAAAATGATAAAACTAATCAATTATCAGATTGTGCATGAATCAAATAAGCTAGTCCCTTTGCTAAAATTGCCTTTTTAGTTTCAAGGCTTTTATCGTTTATATTATTTGTTTGTTTTATTTCTTCCAATTTTGGTATTTGACCCATCATATTTTCTTTAGGCACTTCTTGTTGAATTTCTGTTTGTGGTACTTCTTTAGTATCTTTTACTTCTATACTTTTTGGTAATGTTTGACTTAATGATTTTTGTTGATTAATTGTTAAAGTATCTTTTCGAACTACAGTACCTTTGTCATCTTCTTTATTAGTACTAGAATAACCTTCTTCAACAGGAAGAATACCAGGTTGCACACTTAATGGTTGAGTAGTCCCTTTTATTTCTACAGTTTTTTGTTGTTCTAATTCTTTTGATTCTTCTGAAACAATTGTTGGAGTAGTAGATTTCAGATAAGCATCTGTGTGGTTTAAGTTTTCAATAATACCATTTAAATCTTTAATTTTTTCATCACGTTCCTTTATACCACGACTTAAGTTTTCATTAATATCACTTAATTTCTTGATTTTATCTTCACTTTCCTTTTTAAAATCGGAAAAGTCTGTTTTTGTTTGTTGCCAATATGCATGATATAATTTGGATTGGTCCTCAAGTATTTTAAGATTTTTAAGATGATTATTTGATTGAATCTCTTGGAAACTCCTCATGTCTTCTATCTCTTTCTTAACATCACAAACAATTGTATTTTTGAAACTATCAGTTTTATCTTCTATTTGTTTCTTTAATTTATCAACTTCTTGAAGTGCCTGATCACGACCTGTTTTGAAATATTCAACGGCTACTCTACACTTTCCTAATAAAACTTTTTGTTTAATATACTTTGCTTTAATTTCTTCAGGAGACATATCTTCTATTTTTTCATTTTCATTTTCTGTTTTTCTTTGTTCCTTTTCATAACTTGTAACCTTTTTTCTTAGCCTTTCTATTTCAGCAACTTTTTCATCATTATTCATTAAAAGTATTTGTTTTCTATCTCTGATTCTATCATCAAGCACTTTTATCATCTCTATATTTTCTTTAATGTCTTCAATAAATTCATTATATTGTATTAAAAAATTTGTTGGATCCATTGTCAAGAATAAATGATTAGAAGATACTCTTTCCAGATCTTAGTCTTAAAATAATAGTAAATTTTAACTATACATTTCTCACTTTTTTCAACAAAAAACCTAATTCAAATTTTTCATTGAAAGAGAAAAGAAAAGAGACAAAAAGATTTAGTTTTGATATTTTTTAAGATTTTTTTCTTTCTCAAAGTATTATTGTCATCCTCTCTTTCATAAAATATCAAAAGCATTCAATTATGAATTATTATTTATGTAAATACACAATAATCAATTAGTTATATTTGGTAATACAACTCTTGATAATTTTCGATACGTATTAGTTGTAAGATTTTTTTGGACAAATGTAACATAGTCTATTGAATATTTTTGATGTTTTTTTCCTAAAGTCAGTTCAATAACTTCATCTCCACCATCAACATATTTAATGTAGTTATCTTCGAGGATTTTTGATATATGACTACTACAAGGTTTACCACTATAACACCACTGAATATTATTCCATTCAATTTCAACTCTAACTCTTCGGATACTTCTTGTAGTACCAGTTTGTTTATTAACTTGTTTTAAATTTTTAAAATCAATTTCATAGTCACCAACCGTTAATTGTTTTTTTTGTTGAACATTAGACAAACTTACAGTTCCAATATATATTTCATCAAGAAATTCTTGATAATGTTCTTCAAGTAATTTATTTTCTGCTCTTCTATAAGGGGTCCATCTTGAAGAAAAAAACACACCCTTAACTTCTTCCCATTCCCATTGATAGTAAACAGTAGGTTCTCTATATATTTTACTCATGGGGAAGAAATGAAAGAGATTAAATGAACTGTAAGTTTTTATGATCTTTTTTTCTTTTATAATACTAAAAAAAACTATACAAAAATTATATTCTTTTAATCAATTGAAACTCATAAAGATTTCTTTATAATTCAATTAGTTCCTGTTTAATGTTTTGGAATACTATATTAAAACCAAACCAAAATATCACTTTTAAAACTAACAATATATTACATATTACTAATGCTGTTTGTTTTCTTTTGTTATTTACTAATTAATTTATTTCTTTAATTAACTCTTATAGTCCCTAGTTTCTAAAACAAAAACTGAACTTAAACAAAGAACTCAACTCTTCATCACTTCTGGAAAACATAAAGTTTTGATTGCATCGTTCATCCCTGGAATATGTGAACAAGTTAGGTTAGATCTTGTCGTTGGTGAAGAAATAATATTCAGTAACACTGGATTACATTATATTCATCTCTCAGGATTTACAACTGAACTTTCTAAACCTCAACTTGAAAGTCCAGAAGATGATGACTTACCAGAGTTGGACATAGTCCCACAAGTTGATTCTGAAAATAACAATGAAGAGTTAACACATAAAAAGCCATTAAAAAAACCTAAAGAAGTAAAGAAAGAAGATAAAAAATTAAAAGTTTGTGTTAATTATTAAAAGTATTGATATAATTAAGTACTGACATAATATAGAAAGAGACAAAGAAATGAGATACACTGAATTGATTGTTTTCAATAACTTAATTTTAACTTTCACTTCTTCTTCATCTGAAATAAAAAAAATAATAATAAAAAAGAGAACTTAATCTAATTTATAATTAATGGAAAATTCTGATACTATTCAACAAGTAATAGACCAATTTGTTCAAACACCTGAAACAGAAGGGTTTGATATATTATCTTGTTTATTATAAAATATACTAATTAACAGAATAATTTATTCAACTTATACATCTTCATGTTTACAAGGATTTAGAGAACAAGTTTTAACTGAAATAAAAGATGACCTTATGAAACTACAAATTAAAAATAATATCACCGCAGAAAGTGTAGAAGCATTATTACAAAAATATTTAGATAGTTTGTTTTTTATTTTAATATAATAGAAAATTATTAATAAAAACAGAATTTCCCTTAGAATTATCACTTGGACTTTATTCAGAAATTATTAACTTTATAAAAAATAATTAAATCTAACTAAGAAATCTTATTAAAATTTACCATTTTCTGTATACACAGTAAAATGAACTCCTTGGACTTTGCGAAATGCTTTTTTAATTTCATTTGTTAACATAGATGATCCCCATCCAAGAACAAGAACATCTTTCATTTCAGTATATCTTGAAGCAATTGAACTAAAAGATGGTCTTCCTTCAATAAAACTAACAACATCAGTTAGACGTGGACATTCTTCTATTTCTCTTGTACAATAATTTTCTATAGTTCCAATTATTCTAGTCTTAGCAACAATAAGATCTTCTTGGAATGCAATAACAAGGTCATTTGATCGTGTTACACAAATAACATCAACTTCATGAACTCCATCAATACAAAGAGCTTGTAAATGTCCAAGCATTGGAGCAAATCCAATTCCAGTACCTATTAATACTATTTTACGTGCATTACCAAGGGCACATATAGGTCTTCCAACAGGATTTAAAACAAACATAGGAATCTTTTTTAATGTTTCTTCATTAGCCTCTTTTAGTTTATTTGTCCACCCACCAAATGGAGCAACAACAATACAAATTTCTGAACAATGAGACCGTTTATTTGTTCTTTTTATTAATGGTTCTTCTTGAGTTACATGAGATTCTGAATTAGGTGATGAGATTGTAATTGGAACATTTTCTTGAGATAATAAAGGATTATTGATGGAGTCTTTTTGATGTTCAGAAAGTTTTCTTTCCATAATTTGGGTAAAATTTGAACAAACAATAGAAAAAGGATGGAATGACCATGGGGAAATTGTAGGAATAAGAACGTCCATAAATTGGGTCGAGTTATAAAAAATATTCTTTTTGAATCGAAGGATAACATATCCAGTTTTAGTAACTTCCTTTGATATAATTTTAGCTGGAAAAACGAAATGTAGAAAACGTAATAGAATATCAAAGAGATATAATGAAAGTGGGATAAATAAATAATAATAATAGTCATGAGTAAAAGCCTTAATATGATAGATATAAGTTGGAATAATACAACAAAAGCAAATAATATGAATTTTATGAAATATATTATAAAATTTTCTTCTTATGAATACAGTCAATACTAAAATAACAATAAAACCAAAACAAAGAATTCCATTTTTGTAGGAAGCTGAACTTAGTTTTAGTCCACCTAATACACATCCAATAATATCACAACATGAATGAATAATAGCAAATATACCAAATAACCATCCACTAATTTTATGAAGCATTAATATATCTTGAAAAGTTGTTCCAAAAATACTAATCAGACTGATGTTATTCTTTGGTAACGGAAGTAAAAGGAGACAAAATAATATCGGGAGTGGTCTTCTAAAAACACTTCCTATTTTAAAAAAAATAGAACCTGTTTCACTTTTAATATTATCAAACCATGAAGGCATATCCTTAATACCATAAATCATTGAAAGAACAATAAAAATAAGTAAAGAAAATGTAAAGATATATTCACGTACATTAAACCATAAAAATCTATATAACGTATATTTATTAGAAAATATAGTAAATAAAGTAAAAGGAATTGATTTGACCTTCATAGGATATGTTTGAACAATTGGGTTAGTAACGTTGTCAACAGAGTCTCCTGTAATGAAACGAATCATGGACTGTGTGATAAAAATTAAGATCATTTACATTTATATTTGACAAAAGAACTAAAGTAGAATCAAAAAAAAAAAATGCCAAAAGAAAATACACTCATTCTTCAATTAAATTATTGTAATTTTTTTAAAACTTCAATATAATTTCAATAGAATAAAAATAAAAATCTAAAATAATATCCTAAAATTTTAATAGTTCTTCTCTTTGATTTAATTAAAACTGAAATAATTCTTTTCCTTTTTGTAAAATAACTAATTCTTCATCATTTGGTGCCACACAAACTTGAACTTTACTTGAAGGCATTGTAAGAAATTCTATTTTTTTCCCCATTGACTTTTCATTTAAAGAGTCATCAAGTTCTATTCCAAGGAATTTCATTTTATCACAAATAGCTTTACGTACTTGCCAAACTTCTAATCCCATTTGATCAGTAAATACTAAAAGATCTAATCCTCCAATTTCTACCATTAACCCTCCAATAGTTTTAGCTAATTGTTTGATATAAACATCAAACGCTAATTGACATGTTTTAGCTTTTGGACCTCTAGTTTCTATTTCATGTAAAATATCTCTCATATCACTAGATAATTCACTAACACCAAGTAATCCACTTTTCTTATTTAAAATATCAACAACTTTCTCTATTCCAACTTGTTGAATCATATCAATTGGTATAGTTGGATCAATATCACCACATCTAGTTGACATAACAAGACCTGCAAGAGTAGAATTTCCCATTGATGTATCAAATGATTTTCCATTAACAATGCCACAACAACTAGAACCACCTGTTCCAAGATGACAAGCAATAATTTTAGAATGGCTAACATCAATAACATTTTTTAATGAATTAATAACATATTCATAACTTAATCCATGAAAACCAAATTTAAGGTATTGACTTTGGTAAGGTTGTGGAATAGCGTATGTTCTTTCTGCTTGTGAGATGGTTGAATGGAATGCAGTATCAATTGCAACATATTGTCTAGTTGTTGGAAGTTCTTTCATAGATATCTCAATAACACCAAAACTTGATGGGTTATGAATTGGAGCTAAAGGTAAACATTCTTTAAGTTCTTTTAATACAACCTCATCAATAACCGCTGACTTTTTAAAATATGATCCTCCATGTACAAATCTATGACCTACAAAAGCAATTGAAATATGATTTTCTTTTAAAAATTGAATAATAAGTTTAGCTGCTTGTGGATGATTTAGTATTGGAGTTTCAATTTTAATTATTTGTCCATTTAAATGATGTTCAATAAATGGTTTTTCTGTTCCTGTAACATTTACCCTATTGGATTTACCACTACATACAATGTTATCAGAACAAAATACTTTGTAAGTTAATGAAGAACTTCCTACGTTGAATATTAGTACGTTAGACATCAAAAGTAATTATAACTTCAATGAGTTATAAAATTATTAAAAAAATAAATTAAAAATATTAAAACATAAATTATTTTTTAAGTAATTAATTTTTTTTTTTAAATGTTATATATAACATATAATTAATATTATAAATATAATTATTAACAAAAAAATTATGAAACAATTAGAAAAAGAAAGAAATAGAGAAATCTCAAATGAACTATAAAAATAAAATTCAGTGAACAATGAAATTTGTCATCTTCTTTTTATGTATCATTGGTTTGGAATATTATTTAATTTTACATTTTATAAAGAGAATAATAATGATTAATAGTTGCAATGAGTAAATTCTGTGATAATAAACTTTTTAAAGATGCTGTTGAAAAGGCTAATCAATGTATGAAAACAAATTCACCATGTGAGTGTTTAAAAATTGAAAAAGATGATATTGAAAGTGCTTCATGTGCCACTGAGCCATTGAAAACATTTTTCAAAGATGGATGTTTATCTCTTGGTTGTGAAGATCAAATTTGTTCTTTTAATTAATTGATTCTTTTCAAAATTAAATATTGCTTAAATAAGTCTTTATCATTAATAAATTTAATTAATTTATTTCATTTGGTTATACAACCATTGATGAATTTGTTTGATTCGTTCAACACCAATTTTAACTACAGCACGGTCATAAGTAAGAAGTCCATTTACTTCTGTTTCAACATCTGTTAATTGAGTGTAAATAGCTCCTGCAAGTCCTTCAATCTGAACAAGCATCTTAATATATTCTTCATATGTATCTTCTATTTTATCACTTTGGATATATCCCCAATTAGATTCTATCCATGTATGTTGTGGAATACTTTTACCAATACCTCCATATTCTCCAACAACTCTAATTCTATCATCTAATACTCTCATTCTTGGTTTAGGATAACTGTGACAGTCACATATATCTCCTACATTCTTAAAATGATTTCCTCCACTAGCATCATTCACCAAACGTTGTTCATCTTTACTTAGTTCACATATCTCTTTAGTGTTAAATTGTCCCCAACTTTCATTGAATGGAATCCAACAACCAACACATGGAGAAAGTCCAACCCATTTTCTAATCTCATTCCATTCATTAATAAATCTTCTTTTAGACTCTATTGGAATCTCTTTTTCTTGCTCATTAAATTCATCCTCATTCCAATTTGAAGTATCAGCAACACGAGATGGCATATCTTGCCAAACAATAATTCCTATAGTGTCACAATGATAGTACCAACGAGCGCATTCTGTTTTAGCATGTTTTCTTAAAAGATTAATACCAGTACTCTTTGCAAATAATATGTCTGATTTCAAGGCTTCATCTGTTGGTGCAGTATAAAGTCCATCTGGCCAATATCCTTGATCAAGATAGCCAAAGACAAATATAGGTTTATTATTTAATTCAAAACAAGGAAATCCTTTATAATTTCCTTTTGAAAACTTT